ATATGCTGCCTTATTTGGCTTTGCTTTGCAGGTTTTATTGAGCAAAGGAAACAACTAATCCCGCTATAATTCGCCCGATTCATTTCTCGATTTTCTGAAAAAACAGCATTAAAAGCGCATGAAATTTAATGTTGACATTCGCACTATATCCGGTTCTATTTAGGTTTTTATTTTCACACTTATATTTATTTTCTTTTTCCAAATTTTGACGGCCGGAAATGGCTTAGTATTTTAATATAAAATTGAGGAAGACTACTGCCTCTTAGAAACATGTTTCTAGAGCTGGTATTCGAATAGTATGTTATCTTATAATGCTTACAAAATGAGAAGATTTTATCTCCAAATTAAGGTGTATTTGCCGATTTATCTGTCATATCTGAATCCATTAGGCATTTCAAAGCCATTTTTGTTACTTAAATAGCTCGGAAATGAAAAAGAGCGAGTTTACATTGACAGCTAGAGTGATGGGTGGAGAATAAAGCTGATTGTACAATATTAATCGGTTTGGCATGAAGTCTCGCAAAAGAGTACTTAGTGCATCATCTTCAACGAAAGGGGACAAATTGATCTAAATTCATTTTCAAATGCAAAGTAAAGCTTACATCGACATAGCACTAAAAGCCAGATGATCTTAACACTTCTTTGAAAAGAAGAAATTACAATGAACCGTGAAAATTACGAGACATTACGTTATCAGATTAGCGACGATATTCAAACGAATATTAGCTAACTTTTCAAAAGTTCCACAAACTCGCGATAACGGTATAATTTATAGTACTTTGCCCACAATTTTCAGCTAAAATGTTTCATACAGCTGGAAACGGTATTTGCATTCAGAGTATCCTGTTTCGGTCACCCAAAGCCATGAACTATTTTTCAATATCTACGGCACCTGATTGATTACGGAAACATATTGCAAGTAAGCGTGAACCTAGAGCTCTTCGCCTAAAATCACAGATCAGTGACACGGACGAACTGGCTATAGCAACAACTCCTGGTTAATTAGTAGCTTTGCGGAACTGTTAAAGTAAGACATTTTATTTTATTTGCACTTCTAAGATACTTTATCAGTCGCCACACGTACTTCTTCAACATCTACGGGCGGGGGCGACCTTGCTCAGAGTGGAAACCATTAACAGGAAGCGTAAACTAGACCTCTTCGCTAAAATGCATGGATCCGTTGCGTGGAAGAAAGAGGAGAACAAATCATACTTCTGTGGTAGCTTTTTGCAACTGACGACCTTGAAGCCACACTAATTTCATCCGTCTTCTGGAAAACTGTTGCGCAAAACGAAATCTCTGCGTAACGTGCCAAGTAAATTTGACTCTATTCTCCCGCTTTGAGGTGATTCTGCGAACTTTGCTTTCGGAGCCGCAGAGTAAGTAGAGGTTCTCTTTTGACCGTTACATTTTTCAAGTAACGGACTGTGTAAAAAAGGCCCTTAACTATTGACTGATCTAAGGTTTCTTAAACTCAGTCCAAATATTCACCGCGGTCAAATGAGAGACATGTACAAAAGCTAAGCAAAATACTTTAAAGCCAATGTTGTTATTTTCCTCGTTCAAAGTTTAATACATCACCCGGCAATACGCTGTTAATTTACTAAACTATTTGAAACTTAGACTTGCTACAAGTCAACTTCACGAGTTTCTTAAAGAGCGGAGCGAGCTTTTTATGCCGCGAAGAACCGAGCGAACGACGAAGTCCCGCGCCATCGGACGAAGGACTTTTTTGAAAATCTATTTCAAACGTTGTTAAAAGAGTTCTGAGGGTTTGAAAACTGCAGAAACTGGCGTTACCTGTTGGCGTAATTTGCAAACATGACTCATACTCGGGCGGCAAGTATCATCAAGAAAAAAACGGATTACTGATTTTAATAACTAATTCTTTTACATGACCTGGCGAGCGTAATGGTGAATGAAATCACTCTAAATGAAGCAAACAATTGCCTCAGACAGATCGTTGACTGCGGTCGAGTCCTAATAACGTGGGGTAATTCGTATGAAACTTACGGAGCAAGCAAATCTTTGGTGTTGTTTGATTCAGCCTACGTTTCTTTGGGAGAACCCAAATATGGATAGAGTGATGTTTATTTGACCTCAAAAATGGTTCCCGTAATTTCTCATTCGTTTGTTTTACAAGTCAATAGATGAAAACATCCCTAAAACATGGACTACCCGTTTTTGGCCAAAGAAGACCCAAGGGCCCGGTTCAGACGCTGTAATTCACATGACCTGATTCGAACTGGAAGTTTAGGTTGACTCGAATTAATTTAGGTCGGCTGAATTGATTCAGACGCTTATTTTTATTCCAGCCGAACTAAGTTCAAAAGGGAAAAGACGTGCATTTCAGTAAACTCCTTTATAAACACTTATGCATTTGGTTTCATTCGTGTGAGAAGGATTGCCTCGCCCACTTTTAAGACTTAAAAGTTCCCAAATACAAGGTATCGATCCAAGGGGTGCGGGGTGGGGGGGAGGGGGTGTTGCTACTCCGGATTTCAAGTGACGGGGATGGTCGAAGGAGTGTTTTGGGTTGGTTTAAGTAGGGATTTTTTGGGTATTCAAAACAATCTGAAGATTCGTGGTAGTGCCCGCGTATCTCAGTCGCGTAGATCAGCGAATATAGTACGACCAAAGAAAGTACAACATGTTATCATTTAATGATTTTTGAAAATTTTTAGGGCTCGGAAATACGGCATGGGTTTTTTGGGGGTTAATGTTTGGTCCAGGAATTTTAGGGGTTTTGTTGGAAGCCCTAGGGTTTTCGATTTTTGCCCCAATTCGATCATTCCCGCCACTTAAAATCCGGAGTTCCCCTCCCCCCTCCGGAGATCTCGACCTTGTAATTGATCACCAGCATCGTGACCAAACTTTGGCGTGGGCTTTTGAAGAAGTGGGGTGACATTAGTTCTCAGCGAGTACCGTACTCGCGCACCGTGCCCGGTCAATAAATGTGAACGCTGCCTACGGATGTCCCTGTTGAGACCGGCCTAAGTGTCCCTGTTAGCGAGAGTCAAGGGGAAATAAAAGAAGAATGGCAGAGATAAGCCCTGATAAGCCCCCTCTTCAGAGGTGTCAGGTTCTCGTTAAAAGAGAGCTGGCTTATCCTCTAACCAACATAACCTGTTTACAGATAAGAAAAATTACAAGATATAAACAATCTAACGATTAGTTGTTCTGATTTCCAGATCTTTAGGTTGTTTGGCTGTTCTTTACACGCAAGCTTGCTGTTGGACAAGGCGCAGGTGATCCAGAGCAATCTCATACGGCATCAACGACAACAACAACGCATTTTGACAGAGGCCTTAGTGCCGCTGCCTCCCCCACAACAGCAAAAAAAAAACCACACAAAATAACAATCCTTTCCTTTATCAAAATATGAACGAATCACAGCCCACTCCAACACTCACCAATAACGAGCTGATCAATCTGTCTTTCACAGCATCAGACGTTTTCCTCGTCTTTACAATAATCATCGCTGTGCTTGGAAACACGTTGGTCTGCTTGGCCTGTGTTATTTCCAAACGGCTAAAGAGCTTCACGGAGCCCTTTATAATCAGTTTGGCGGTGACTGATATTCTAGTTGGACTCATTTCTATGCCAATATGGCTTTCTCACAGTCTAACGGGCAAACCCAACAGCAGAGACTTTCCGACCATTTACAAACTTTGGTTGCAGTTTGACATTATGTGTTGTACAGCTTCTATAATGAATCTTGTTTTCATCAGTGTCGACCGTTTCATAGCGGTCACCTATCCCCTCCGATATTCAAGCATGGTTACACGAAGTCGCGTCGCAATCGGGATTGCCTTCATCTGGCTTTACTCTTTAATTATCGCGCTCATAAAGCTCCAAAGATGGCAATACTACTCACTGTTTGCCTCACTGGCTTCGTTTTTCGTTCCTCTTTTGATCATGTTGTTCGCCTATTCTCGAATATTCCACGTAGCTTTAACCCACGTACGAAGCATTCGTCGCATACACTCGGACCAATCGATATCTAATCGGAGAACTGTCGAGAACTTTCACGTTAACTTAAAGGCTGCACGCACGTTTAGCATTGTGATTGGTGCGTTCGTCGTATGTTGGTGTCCCTTTTTCGTGGTTACGTTACTTGCTATGTATTCTAAGGCTTCCATAAACAACAACGTTTTAGCCATGATTAAGTGGTTAACATATGGTAACTCGGCACTAAACCCGCTGATCTACAGCTGTTTGAACAAGAACTTTAGGGCCGCGTTCACGGATGTGTTCAGAAGAGCGCTCAGTAGGAGAATGACACATGCGCAGAGTTCGACAACAAGGCACCCGACGACTTCTGTTGTTCCACAAGGAGACCAATAAAAATGGTAGACACTGCCTCCCCACCAATATAGGCTGATTTAGCAACAGCACGAGAACGTCATTTGACGACGGGAAAGTGTGCGGAAACGACTAAACTCGACTTCCGGTGCCCAATTTGCGGCTCAGCCATTGGTCAAGCCAGTTGTTGGATTTGCGCGCGCAGTCGTCAACTGACGTTCCCGTTCTGCTGCTAAATAGGTGTAAGGGAAGCAACACTGCTAGGTGAGTAATCTTGTACCCAGATCCCTTCTGCTTCGCTGACAAAAGATCAGGACCAAGTTGTTCAGATAACCCAGGGTTATTGCGAAATTTTGATTCAGATATGAAAGCTTAGAAGGGAAATTCAGTTTTATTCTTTTCGTATACAATTTGATGATTGGATGCTCTAAAAAGAATAGAGAAAATTATCCGGGAAAATGCTTTTGAACAAAAGAGAAAGAAACCCAGGTTAAATTTAACCTTGGGTTTACGCTAATCGGCCTTCGAACTACTGGGCCCTGGGTATCGGATAACTCGATGGGCTGTTTTTTTTTTAAATATATATTTCTGATTATCCAATTAAGGTCGAATGGAAGCGGATGTTTGCTCGCCGCTGCAAAAAAACAAGTAACACCATCACCCTCCCTTCCAGACTCTTTGTGTTTTAACGCGATCTACCGATCCAAGATCGAGACTCTTTCATCATCATCATCATCATCATCATCATCATCATCATCATCATCATCATCATCATCATCATCATCAGTCGACTGGAGAGCAGTTGACTGGAACACGTTTCCAACTGGCTCGGTCTTATTTTATTTATCTTATTATAACTCTGCCATTTAAAGTAAAAATGTAAACAAAATTCAAAAAATGATGAGGCAAGGGAGGCCCAAGGAAGCCAATAGGGCTTATAAAAAGGACTACTTTCAAAAATATATAACTTAATCAATGAATATAATACTGGCATCGGCAAGACAATTTAACTAATCACATACAATTTCTTTACAACATCAGAGGCGGATCTAGGGGGAGGGTGCAGGGGGTGCGCACCCCCCCCCTGAGATGACCTGCGGTTTTCTAATACAACTGGTATTCTGCCAAAAAAAAAAAACTATGTGGTGTATTGGAGTTGAAGTAGAGCAAGAGACGAGTGCACCCCCTCCTAAGAAAAATCCTGGATCCGCCCCTGAACATAGAAAATAATCATTAAATAGGATGAAAATAGATAAGGCTGAACGTGCAAGTGCAAAAACGAAAAAGAAAAAGTGAGAAGAAATAATGCAAGAATACGAGAAAAAAAGCGAAAGAAACGAAAAACTACACATAGATGGCCACAAGTTTATTAGCTCTGGCTATTTAGTGTCAACCCTCATCAAATAAAGCCTTTATTTTATCTTATCTTACAAGCATTAAGAGAAGTAAGGTGAAAAATGACAGCTTTAGTTTGGAAGTGAAAACAGCAATACTAGAGGCATTCTGAATTTCAGAGCTAAGGGAATTAAATATTTTGGGCCCTTGAAAACGAAGTGAAAGTTTCCTTACATTTGTCCCGCAGTAGGGCAAACGGAAGGATTTCTTACTTGAGTATTATATGAATGTACGTCACAGTTAAGTAAAAAAATGTCATTGAAACTACGAGGCAGAAGTGCCCACGATGTCATCCTCTGAGAAATACTTGTTGGGTCGATCCATTTCTGTACTTGGTTAGAAAAAGCATCTTTAAAGGAAAGTACCCAGTTGGGCTTAAGTGCCCAAGCAGAGTTTAAACCAGATTAACTTGCGTCTAAGTCCACTTAAGAACTGTATTTGTCAGACATGAGTTGTTCAAAAAACTCGTCTATTTCATAGTTAACAATGTCTAGCTTAATTAAAGTACATATGACACTAAAATGTTCAGTTTTTCAGGGTCTTTGGTCCTTCAGTATGTGTATTTAATAGTCCTGAAGTTCAAGCATGTCCTCCAAAAAAATCGTTCGGCTTTGGCCATCGGAAAACTGCATTTTTCCCTGTAGAAATGTCCGAGAGACTGAGAACGAGTTATGGGGTCCGAGCCAGGCTGATGACGTCACATGTCACAAGGACATCGCTGTTTTAAGTAAATTATATGCTGTATTTATTTCTAAGTGCCTTCAGCCATGCAAAAATGCTCCTGTAAAGTTATGAACGAGATACCAAAAATTTCATCACGAGGCACTGACTGGAATAATTTTTTAGTGGTAATTTTTGCAGGCACATCAAATTTCAGTCCATTTCTATCCTTGCAATCCGTTGTCACAGACGATAGGAAACAGTTTAAATGTCTAAATGTGGTTTTAAATAACAAAAGTAGATCCTTATTTTTGGAATTCAATTGATACGTAGCCTGCGCGCGCGAGCAAGCTCTCCTGGGCGCTCTGGCGGCGGGGCGGGAAAAGGAAGGAGAGCTTGCGACTACGTCTCTAAAATTGGAATATCTGCATCAAAAAAGTCGATGCGAAATGCTGATTGGCGAAGATTGCATTAATAATGACGTCATTACCCTTGGCGCGAGCTTTCACATGTTTTTCAATGTTTGTTTACATTCACGTTCGTTTCCGCTTCTCGCTGTTTGGCCGAAATCTGACAGCTCAGTCAACGGGAAACCACAGGGGAATTGGAGGCGGAATTCAAATTCCAGAGACGTAGTTGTAAGCTCTCCTTGCTTTTCCCGCCCTGCCTTCAGAGCCCACGGAGGGCTTGCTCGCAGGCCAACTGACACGAAAAAAGGTTTTAGCATTTTATAAAAGCAAAAAGCGTGAAGTAGTCCCTTTAACTTCTCTTAGAATTGTTGAGACGAGGCTGTTATCGAAAATAACGTTTACTTCCGGGGTTTACTTGTTGCTGTCTAGTTACTTGCTGTTGCATGACAATATCTATAATAAACTGTTTTCATAGTTTAGATTAGTACAGTTTAATGAACACAAAATACTAGTAAGTCTTACTTAAAAGTAGTTACCAATACACTACGATATATAGTAAACTGACATTAAGTTAATATGGAACGCCTGATGTTGAACACATCTCAATTAAAACTTCATAAAGTTTGCTTTGTGGTACTATAGAATTCAAATGAGTGCCACCTTCGAAAAAGCACCGCACCCTCGCAGCAACTATGCAGCGGTAATTTTTCCATGTTCGTGATATAATGTCAATATCGCATGAGACAAGTGCCAAGAGCAGAACAACATCAGTTGGCGCGGGAAAACTCGCGTGAGTCAGGAGCCCATAAGCGGAAGCGACCAACTGACATACTAGGCCTCCGTCACAGCGTTTTCACGGACTGTTTATTTTTATATTCATTTCGGAGCACTTTTTCCTCGCGAAAATGAAAGCTCCGTTTCGCCTGTGAGTGCATTCGAGGTATAAGATATATAAAAAGGGAAGACTGAACATCATAAAAAGGTCAAAAGTACCATATTCAGGTCTGAGGGTTTTGTTGACTGATTTGTGGGACTTAGATTCTAGATTCTATTCTAGATTCGCGCCAAAATCGTTCTAAAAATGGTCGGTGAAAACGCCGTAACACGACTTCATGAAGGTTATGGGCTCCTCCGCGAGTCCACTCGTGACTGGCGCAAACTTTGCTGCTGTATTTTACTCTTTTCTTTACAGAGCTTAACCCTAATTTGGGATTCTAGTTTTAAACTTAAGAGTAAACAACGGGGATAAGTAAAGGATGTCTTCATCACCCCTCTTCAACTATTTTATAGTTCGTTTAAGTAGAACACACTAGTACAGACATTAAGTCATGACCACTCCGTTTTACAAAGCATTGACAATACAAGGAGAAATTTGATGCTGATCACTCTTAGGGCTTAAAGGGTTAACAAAAGCAAAATTAAACTGCTCTAATGTACGCACTACACAGTAGTTACTACTTCAGTGCAAACAAGTATTTCCATTTCCGTCTTAGAATGAGCTTTGGTTAAATCACCAAGATTGTTTCCACTATTTCGGCTGCTGCTCCTGGTTGCGGTGTGTGAAATAACCCGACTAACATACGACAATCTTCGGGCCGACACGAATCGACAGAGAATGCGTCGGAATGCTGCTCGGAAGTGCCTGTTAAGGAGCGTGTAAATAATGGGATTCACCGCTGAATTGGAGTAATGCAGCCACTTCATGGCTTTCGCAACTTCCATGGTCTTATCTTTAGGTATACACCCCGAATTGCAAGGTACTGCAAAGATCAGCAAAGAGATGATATACGGAGACCAGCAGGCGATGAAAGCGCCCATTACTATGGCAAGCGTCTTCGCAGCTTTCAAATCACTGTGCAGTACACGACGCATTTGGCGCATTGAAGTCTGGCTGGTCAATCGCGGGCGCACTTTGTGGAAGATAAGGCGGCTCGCATTTGAGGAATGTCTGGGAACCATACTGTAGGAGGGTCTAGTTTGTCCATTTGCAAAAATCTCTGGATCTACAGCGTCACTGTTTTTATCATCGTGGTCCACTTCTGATAACTCGTGCATTCCTTGACCGTAGCCGCTTTTACGCATTTTTAGCGCTTGTTTATGAGCGACGCGAAATATTTTTGCGTAGGAATACACAAGAACTGGTAAAGGTAGGAAAAAACTAGCACAAGCAACAAAATACGGGTACCACGCTCCATGCCTCAAAATACGCAAACTCGCTACCACGATGGAGTACAACCACACCAATACGATACAAAATCTCGCGCGGTTCTTGGTTAGTTTGAGATGATATTTGAACGGAGATGTGATGGCGTAAAAGCGATCGACGCTGATTGCCACGAGGTTCATGATCGAGGAGGTCCCGCTCACGATGTCCAGGCAGATCCAGAGCGTATACAACTCGACATCATGGTCACGGTTAGGCCATTTCTTTACGAGATAAGTAAACCAAAAAGGCATACACACAAATCCAACCAACAAGTCAGCCATAGCAAGGGAGACCACGAAGTAGTTTGTGACATTCCTCAAATCTCGGCAAAGATAGAACGCGGCACATACCAAAATATTACCAAAGATTGTGAACACAATAAGGACAGCCAACGGAATTGTCGAGATCGCGTCGTTTTCGGACATTCTCGGGTCTGCCTCGGATACGAGCGCCTCCGGCGTTGGACCAAAAAGAACGGGAGTGGAGTAGTTTGCTTCTTGCAATATGTCGTTCCTTTCTCGGTTGCTTCAAGGAAAATTTTAAGTGGTTTATAAGTAGATACTCTACATTTGATCGCCAATTTAATTATTAAGGCCGGTAACTTTTGAAAGCCCTCACGAAAGTTCCATTTGCAGCGCCGAGTCACTGATGAACGAAACGTAATGTTGATTTTATCTTCAACTAGGCAGCTGTTCAAACAATTTCCACAACGAGCGGCAAAGTACGTTCACCATTAACAGATTTTTTAAATTTTCGTTTTCTACGAGAGAAGGCAAGTTCTCCTCAAAATAATGGAACTCTCTTCACCGTTGTCGGCCCAAGCTTGCGTCTATTATGCACAAGTAGTTTTGAATTTTTTCCCGCTGATAAATAAACACACGCCTACCGATTTTCAGAACTAATTTTGTCAAGAACAAGAAATCTCTGCAAATTCAAGTAACGAATTAATAAACGCTGAGCGGTGTCTTTTGTGCGCTAACTACGACTCTTGCCATGTAATTGTACTTCGGCGGAGAGTTTAATAGCGATAAGGCGTGAGTTTGCTGTTTCACTTGTTGTGTTGCTTGTCCAACTAAAAGCGCGCAAATTGTGGTAGACCTGTTATGTTTGTTGATCAAGCAAACGCAAATCTTGCTTTCAATTCTCAATGACCTTCTTACTGTGCAAGCTTGTTTGGTTCTCAATAAAGGTTGCTTCTTCTTGTCTCAAAATTAAAAATTGTAGTGATTGCGAAATCCAATCTCCAACAATTTGCGATATCGCTGACACAAGCACACGGCGATCCCCGGAAAGCTTAGCCTTTTTTGCCAGGTTGATGTCGAAGCAAGTCTCTTTCTTATTAACGAGTACTGTTGTATTTGCTTCAAAATATAGCGTACGACGAATTTTTCAGTCACGTCTACCTCAATGAAAGGAAAGCGAATATCTCTTTCAAAACGTGAATGGAATACACTAAAATGTCACTTGTCAAAGGGTTTTTTGAATTCACCTGCCAAAAGACCAGAGTTACACAAAAGCGTTCAAAAGCTCGCAGAGAGGAAATAACGAGATTATTGAAAATTGATATATATATGTCTCTCGCTGATAAATGTACACAGGAGGTGACTACCATGAGGAAAATGTCGGAGACACTCTTGAAAACATCACCATAAAATAGTAGTAATGTAATATGAAAGTACTTCATTTAATTAACCGGATTAAAAAAACTTTGATTTCCTAGGTCAACCAGGTGAGGCCTTCACATATAGAAAATAAAAGAATTTTAAACAGTGTAAGAAAATACAAATAGTAGCCATAAATTAAGGCTGCAATTTGCCAAAAAAAAAAACTGTTCTCGTATCATAGGACTCTAGATCGACATGGAGGAGATAAAAAAATTGCCCAAATAGCATGCACATTTCGCTCTGGCTGATGACGAAGCAGTTTATCTCGTACAAAGACGACGGATTTCACTGAAAGCTGTTTTTTTTTTTCCAACATTAAAATTGCTTTAGCAATGACATACCACTAATGAATTATTTCATAACTTGAGAGGGCGTTCTTAGTTGCACTAACAACGTGTATGTATGATATTTTTTTAAGGAGAAAAATTCTTTAAAGTTTGGTCTAATAATTTTACTTTCAATTTTTTTTTTAAAAAAGAAAGATTTAGCAATATTACCACAAAGCGCAACATTTCGAGAGGTAAACAAAAAAGACGCATAACGTCGGTTTGACAAGAGAAAATTTCTTAAATACACAGAATTGGAAAGGAGACCGCTGGAGGATTACGAAACATTCACAACTAAGCCACAAAAAAGCAATTCTGATGAATTCATTCATTTCTACATTTCGTATAAAATGGAAAGATAAGCTAAACGGCCAAACATGCTAAATTTGACATATTTCATCTCAATATTTGCATTAAAGAAGCGATAACATTCGACTGGCATTTGCACAAAGTACTTCATCTTTACTTTGCCACAAATTATACCCTTTTTTTTTCAACTGGCCGCGAACTCTTCGCGTGAATCGTTGTTTGGACTGATGTTAAAAAAAAACACTGATGGCAATTCAAAATCAGACTGTACCCGGGCTCCGCGTTTTTAAGCTTAAAAATGGTAAATAAATTGGCAGACAGTCTTGTTTCTTAAAAAACGATCTAACGCACAAAATTATTAGAGGTAAAATCAGAAGTATTAAAAGACATTTTTCGGCTCGATTTCGGCGTTTCCAATGAAATTTCATTCCCGACGGCAGTTTTTTGGTGCTTTGATCGTTTAAACCAACGTCCTCACTTTAATTTTTGTTTGATTGTTTGTTTTTATTTTCAAGTTCTAAGTCTTTAATTTACCAAGGACCAGTAAAACGAAAACTATCAAGTACTGTAATTCTCTTCCAAAAAACTGGTAAGTTTGTTTAGCGAGCTCGACAAGATGGTTGTTATTAATTTTAGTTAATTCTGTTGAGCAGGTCCAACAGTGTGACCGTCTAAACGGTACTTTCTTGTCGTATCCATTACATGCGACCAAGTTGTTATACAAGATGGTTCCTGCCCAGTTTTGAGTCTTAAGATGAAAACGGTAGAAAGCTACTGAGCGGTCCTTTCCCGTGAGAGCGTTTCAGTTATACTGACGGCAACCTTTTTAGTGAAAAACAAAAATGGCCTCAATGCATACGGTTGTTTCCGCCAAGAAGAGGATGAAATTATACAGCACGTCTTTAGGCCAATAATATCCTTCCTACTCACGTTTCTCTTTATTAGAGAGATAAATATTGGAGAGAGGCAATTGGAACCGGCAGTTTGCTGTCGATCTGAAACGACAAAAGGTCTTACTTCTCAAGTTTTTCACGAACGTAAAAAAACTTGTCTGCACGTTGTAAAGGGCAAACGTAATAAATGGCGCCAAATTGGTCCCGTGAACTGCCATCTCTGCCATGTACGGTAAACGTGATGTTTAATCTTCTATTATTTCTTGCACGGTAACAGCAGCCTATGTAAACCGATTTAATGAAGACAATAATTGAAAATGTCACAAGTCACGGAGGTCGTTCTTCGAGCGGATGTGTGTTGTAGTATAATTGATACGATTTCCTAACAGTCTTTGCCATCTCGTGCGTGTTGCAAGGCTCACGTCAAAATACACTTGCGGCGCCGTACTGAAAAATGTCAACATAAACTTGAAACATATACATCTAAAAGATTTTAAGGACTCTTAAGGGTCCATATTGTAGTCTATCTTCGAGTCGCATACTTGGGGCAGTATTCGACTCGAAGATATACCTGAGGTTCAGCCTACACGCGCGCCCTTGCTCAAATTTGAATCTGAATGTGTTCATTATTAAGAAGAGGGCAAGACCGGATTCCCGGAAAAAGAGCTCTCTGAACAAGGAAGAGAACCAACAACAAACTCAACCCACGCATCGCGTTGTCTCCAGGGCACGTACTTGGTCCTCCCTCCCCCCCCCCCCCCCCCCCCCCCCCCCCCCCAACATCCCCCCCCCCCCCCCCCCCACAAACTTCTCCAACACAAAAACAAATTTTATATTTTTTTTTTTAAAAAAAAAAACAAAAAAAAAAAAAAAAACAAGAAAATCTATAAAAAAATTTTTAAAATTTTTTTTGGGTACTAGTTAAAATAATTTGTATTTTACAGAATCATTGTGTAATCAAATTTGAATCTGAATGTGTTCATTATTAAGAAGAGGGCAAGACCGGATTCCCGGAAAAAGAGCTCCCTGAAAAAGGAAGAGAACCAACAACAAACTCAACCCACGCATCGCGTTGTCTCCAGGGCACGTACTTGGTCCTCCCCCCCCCCCCCCCTCCCCTACCCCGTCTCCCAAATATACCAGCATCGTCTTACTCACAAAAATTCTCCAAACCAAGATCTAATTTTAATGCTTTATTATTGAAAATATAATCGAAAATAAAATCACAGACCGGTAACTCATTGATAGACTTTCGCAACTTTTGGTTGGGACTTAGCTAGAATAATGCTGACTTGTAAAGATGACTTGATAACAACACCGTCTTGTTCTCAGAGAAGAAAAGTTGCTCATATTTCATCAAGTTTTAAAGAAACGCAAGCACAGCCGAGTGTTTTATATGGAATAATGAAAGAGCTCCGAAGGAAAAAACTTACCAAGCACATAGCAGACCGGTGTCAGTTGTAACTGAAGGGTTTCCAGAAAAAAAAAGGCGCATTTGCTTATCAATAATTGATAATGACTCATGAAGAGTTTGACTAGGCCTTTCGACTGTTTCGGAAACAGTAGGTTATTATTGTGGCAGGTGAGGTGATCCAATAACGGCCTGCTCTTCTTCTTATTGAAGGTAATAACCTGTTCAAAACCTTCAATACCACAAACTGCGAGATTCTTGAACGGCAGAAAAGACGCTCTTTTCATTTTTCGTAGATTCTCTGGGCTTTCTAAATCATTCATCCCCAGAAACGCAACTGTGTCTATATCAGACGTACATGTATAGTTAAACAATGAATTCATCTACATTTTCTTCATAATTCATGAATGAATTAATTTTTAGATCAAGAAAAAGGTTCTTCATGAAGTGCTAAATTCTAGAACCACGAGGAAATTTTTAAGATATATCAGAAGTACTTATCGTACTTCTGAGGTTAATAAATCCCGCATGGCTGTAGTACCGTGAGTGTGTGAATGTTTTCTTTACATTGTTTTAATCAAAATTGGTCTTGGAGGTCCGCAAGTTCAATCTTCACCTCGAGATTAATTAAATTTACAACTTACACACAAACCTCTATACATTAAACTGTTTATTGACTTTCATTCAACTATTTGCTTGCAGTTTTTTCTTTGTATTCTATCAGTCCTTTTTCTATGAGATCAGGAATTTCTACGGCCAACCAGGGACCAAGCTAAAATAAAACGAAACAAAGAAAAGATAGACATGTAAAAACTAACGACATAATGTTCCGACATTTTGGTGACCTTACGACGCTGTTGTCAAGGACATGGAAATAAATAAATGCGAGTTCAAAAAGATTTATTAAAGTACTCTAAATTTGCATTAAGTTAGGAGAGCTGGATAAAGACTTAAGCACGGATTGAATCGCATTTATCTATTTCCAGTTCATTGATAATGGCGTCATGAGGTCGCCGAAACGTCGGAACATTATCTCCTTGGTTTTTAAATGGATATGTATCTTTCAATCATTATCAATAAACAAAGAAAGATAAAAGAAAAGAGGAAAGAACGAATTTCACTATTATCACGTATGGATGACAACTCAAGAAATATAGGCTTAGATGTCAAGATAAAACTGAGGCCAACTTTTGTTACAAAACGTTTGCTAACTGAACAAAAATGGAAATACCCAGAAAAGCTTTCCTTTCACAATACTGGACGCATTTTACTCTCCAAAAAAAACAAACAAAAACAATAACAATTCAGAGAAAACAGTGAATCTTCATTGTTCATCATAGCAGTCTATATATAGTTGAGGGTCTATGGACACTCTTACAAGTAGAACGCTCTACTTCTAAGGCTTTAACCTTGTTTTGGATTAAAAACACTTTAACCAAAGAAGCATGGTAGTGATGTTAGTATTATATTTTGCAACTGGTTCCTGAGCTCTAATGAATTGAAGCATTTCCTGGAAATGGCAAATTAGAGGGATCACTGCCAGCGACCGTTGCCCCTTAGTAATTATCTGTTGCCCCACAAAAGTCAGACCAGTAAAATTATTGGTAAAAGTGCTGCAAGGCAGGGAGTATGGTTTTTTGTCCTTATCAGAAGAGATTAGTTCTGACCACTTGCAAGTTGATAAAATATCAAGCAAATTCATCTTGTGTGATCATGTTTGCAATTCTCAAGACCACTCCGTTTTACAAAGCATTGATATTAAAAGGAGAAATTTGATGCTGATCACTCTTGGGGCTTAAAGGGTTAATTCTCCTCAGTTCCTTATGGCCACCTTGATAAAACCCAATTTTTACCACCATACAAACCATACAACTTTTATAAGCAGCCATTCACATAAAAAAGTCATTGATGCCTTTTTCAAGGGACACAATTCAGTCTCTTGTTTCAGCATCATTGTATTACAGTAGAACCTCGATAACTCGAATTCCCTTCTACTTGGAACTGTTTTTCATTTCCCTTCAGAGTTCAAGTTAACAGGCTACTACTGTAGTGCTTTTCTCCTTAGCAAATGTTTGAAGTTTTGTGTATTTATACACATGTATAGCCTGCTAAAGTAGGAAGTATATAAAAAACCTTGAGCGAGTAAATCCTGTTTTGTGTAGAATTAATCGCCTCCTCATTTCTCAATCTAATCTGCAAACAAGCAAGACTGAACTCTGCTGTAAAGTGTTCTTATTACAAAAAGCAAGTTGAATTTTCTTAGGATTTTTTTCTTTGACCTCTTAATCCTTTACATCCCAAGAGTGACCAACATCAATTTTCTCCTTACCATATCAATGCATAATCAAGAGAAAAGGTTAGGAGAATTAATGAAATGATCACCTAAGGGGAAAATGTTTTGATCTTTTATCAAATTCTCTGAACTAATTCTGTAAGGAAATGTAAAGAGATCAGTTGGGAGAATTTGAGTGCGGATATTGGGGTTTAAGTCAACGTTTAACAATTACTTACCCCAAGAGCCATGGCATGGGCTATTCCAAATTTAGGGACATTTCTACCCCAGAGAGGCTTAAAATGGTCTGTCATACAAATCTTGCCACCCCTGAAATGGAATAAAGAGAAAAAAGGAAAGTGGAAGCAGGCTTCAAAAATGCAAAATTAAATCTGGGTCTAGGTACATTGTTAACTCTCTTAAAAGACACTCTTGCAAGCAGACAACAGGTGAAACTCTACCGCGGTCACCTTGAAAAAAATCCCATATAGCCTGCATAGCAGTGGTTTCCCTTTCCTTTTAGCCAAGCCAGTTAAGAGCCGAAGACGTATGAGAGTGAGCAAAAAAAATAGGGGCAGGGGAGGGGTGGGTTTCCTTTCCAGCACTACTCCCCCCCCCCCAATTCCATGGGTCCCCAGCATTTCTCCCGCTTTTCTAAAAGGAGACAGAAATGACGGCTACGTCATATTACTCCCATATTGAAAAACAGCTTCAACTTTTCTTTCTTTTAATCCTACAGTCAAATCCCAGTAAGTGGATCCCTCACTAACTCAAACCCTCGCTAACTCAAACCTCAGGCTAACTCGAACCAAAAACGATTAACCCTGGATTTCCTTCATACATTTACATAATTTTACCCTTGGTAACTTGAGCCCCCGATAACTCAAACCTCCCGCTAACTCGACACAATTTTTGTTTCCCTTCGGATCATTTCTATCTCTTGATTATGATAACTCAAACTATGTTTTAAGAGCGTGACAAAAATAAGGTTCTGCAGTCCGAAACATTGAATTTATTTCAGAACAACCATGTATTCTTTGTCTTTACTTCTTTGTCAATCCAGTTCAAATGCAGTGTCCAGTCCTGTACATTACTCAAGCTTTGTTGCTTCAATTTCCTTGTCAAATATCAATCTTTATTTCTTGCTGCCCTTGAAGTGAAGTGTGATAATAATTATTGTATTCTCTCCCCGCCCATTTGCTTATTTCCTTATTCTCAGTAATTTGCTTCGAACTCCCCAAAACTCAAACTCTCAATAACTTGAACTTTTTTCGATTTCCCTAGAAGGTTCAAGTTATTGGGAGTCAACTGTATATCTCCAACATTTGAAGTGAATGGTGCAATCTCCAAAAAGTGGGCAGTTATCTCTTATTATTACTAGTGGTTGCTTACTAGGGTCAGTTCAGAAAGCTCTGGTTGGGGACGATTTATCAGTTTGTTTATGGTGTCTGCTTCTGCTACAGGGTGTTTTGACTGTATACTTATATTGAGAGCACCCACCATTTGAAGTCAAGTAAGAATTTTAATGAATAATGCCATTAGTTACCTATACATTTTTGCAGTTTTCCCATCAAGTTCTGGAATGGCTATCTCTGGTGCTGTTGTGGGATATGTCACTGGAATCTGTGAAAAGAATGACATTATGATCCAGCTACTGATTGAACAGACTGAAATGAGAATCTTGTGCAAATTTCTACTTTACTGTTAATTGCCATGCAAGTTGATTATAAAATAATAATTTTCCCAAAGCAGACTGCATTATGTAATATCCTCAAGGAATGGCTTGACTACTGGATAAAACAAATAGTGCTACTCTTTCACATCTGGAAAAAGCACCCCCTTCCCATCCCCTAGCACTTTCTTAAATAGCAGTGATAGAAGGAAAATCAACTTCTATGGCCACTTTATTTTTAACTTTTCAGGCTTTGACTACAGCAGAATCAGTATGGGAGAATAGTTTCTTTTCCATGATGATACTTCCAGTTATTTCTATAACCATGTGCAGAATTCCTTTATGTGCGTTGTCTCTTCTTTCAATTTTTGTCCTATTGACCATGTTCTTGGTAGATGCCATAAACTTCCTAGGAACAACTCCCGGGGGGAACTTTTAGAATTTTGGGGTGGGGACATGCTGCTGAGACCCTGGAACCCTTAGCCTACACCAGAGATAGTTCAGCTAAATTTTGCGACCCCTTTACTAGACTAAACTCCCCAAATTCCTTCTATCCGACAGTAGCTTTAGTCTGAGTTGTCTAATTTTTAACATGCCGATTTGATTTTTTTATATTAATGAATGGCAATTCCTGGTATCCCTAGTCTAGACTAAAATCTTTAACCAACTGATCAGTTTCCTGGAAAACGATGTCCTGTTCTAGTCCCAAACTCTCTGATTTATATACCCATATCTCAGGGTAAACTGCTTGAAAACCATACCCCTCACAGCAGTACAAAGCTATTTATTTCATAGGTGCTGAGATTTATCCACAAAAATCATAGTGAATAAAATTCGCACTGATTCTGCTCGGAGCCAATCAGGAGCACAAACGACAAAATTTCACCGTGAAAAACTATCATTCGTCCAATCAGCAACCACGAAATTTCACTTATGATGAATGAACGTAGTGAAGACAATGTCACCCGAGAGCCATTGCACAAAAATCTGCACACTTTGAAAATGCGCGAGGGAAGGTTTGCTTCTGTTTGCTTGGTTGAAGAATTTATTTTTGGAACATGAAAACAAAAATACCGCTTAAAAAACTGAATTAGAAGTAAGATTGCTTAAAAGGTTTTTAAAAATGACGAACAAAGACAGGAAAATTGAAAATATTCCAGCGGCAAAGACCAAAGCAAAGAGTTAAAAATATTGTATTAGAAGGGTTTACTTGGTATGTGTAGTCCTGGCGCACTTTTAAACATGCTCAGGCTAAACACCACAGTAAGTGTTCTAAGTTTAAAAGCTTTCATTAAGTTAGTTGCAGTTGTTGGGCGATTTTAAATTGACTACTTTTAACTTTTTTAATCGCCCCTTTGTGCATTTGTCTACCAAATTACACGAAAAAAATCTCAGTACCTATGAAATACACACATTACAGCATGGGAAAAGCTTTGTATGATTTTTATTCACTCATCAAGTGAAGTAATCTCTATAAAGCCAATAATATATGTCAGTACAACCCCCCCTCCCCCCGGAACAACTTGACTATTCTCTACTTTGTTCTAAGGAAAATGTGATAAGCAGCCCCTTGATTAAGTGCTCTCCATTAAATAGGCGCCCTATGATCCCTGCTGAAATTTGAAATAAGCACCACGGCGATTATTTGGGGAAATACAGTTGGTATGGCATTTAATTAGAAAGCAAAAGTGTTCACAGACTCACGCCCATAGGCAGAAGTGTTGAGTGTATTTATTATGTTCTAAGGATTATTGCAAATGCATTAAATAACCCTATCATGTTCCTTTTGGGCTGGTGGTCAATATATGTTCTATAGAACCGTTAAAATACTTACATCAAATTCAATATCAAATTCATACTTAAGGAGGTTGTGTATATACCAGCACTTCCCAAACCATCTACAAATAAATCAAAACTATGTTTAATATGAAGAATAAAATTATGGTAAGAGAGGTGTTCGAAGTACCAAAGCAAAAAAAAAAAAGGAATGTCAGCATGATGCACTGTTATTGTCGGTTTTTACTCTCAATGTGCTGCTTCAGAAAATATCCATACTTCCCTATCATCCCCTCACCACATGGAAGGTTTACCAGTTTACTAGTTTGAACCTTTCATTTAAGGTTCTTACTGTCTTTTTTCGCCTTCAAGACCCTCTTCCTCGTGATCTTTTCAATGACCGTTCTTGGTGTGGGGATTAGACTGTTTCTGGAAACATCCAATTTTACCCCGTGCTATGAGGATTGAGCAACTTCCTGTGGGGAGGGAGAGGGGAGGCAATGGAGGGAAGTATGCTTCTGAAGTCTTCAAACTCCCACCCTTTTTAAGAAAAAATCTGTACATTTTGTTACCCTGTTGAGGTCATGAGACCTTTTTGGGGGGTCTAAATATGACACTTTGTTGGAGAACATCTCCTTTTTTTACTTAAATTTGGAGTCAATGACCTTTTCCAGTTATAAAAAAGGTCACATTAAATATGTGGACCCCAAACGACTAATTTTGCTTTTCTTTTTTTGCTTCTAGGCAAAAGTTTAACTATTTCTTCTTCGCAAAACATGTGAAACTTTCTGCCATTTTCTGCAGCTCTACCAAAACAGCTGAGCTAAGACAACCTTGTACCCAGGACTTCTCTGTTGCCATCCCTTTATCCTGTCAATATCCTTTACTATCAATATCATTTTACTGGATATTGCAAACGTCTCACAAATTTGGTCAAAGCTGGCTGATTTTATAGAATTTGCCAGTGCAGAAACGAAGCATACCTAGAATGAATGATATTAAATGAAATTTATTGTTATCTGGGCAAATGAATTGTGATCTTAAGAAATTAAAAAGAAAAGGAGTGCCTCACCTGGTTCCTTCTTTGTTGGATTCAAGTCTGAACCAGTCATTGTCTGCTTCTTTGTTATTACTCACATACTACAACAAAATACACTTGTTATAAGGTTACAACAGGGGCAACCAACCTGTTAAAAGCCTTTTTATAGACAAGCCTTCTGCTAAACTCTAGATCTTAAAAGCCTTGTAAACAACATTTTAAAGAACGAACGGACGGAGAGGATCCTAAAAGCTTGTAGATTTTTTACCATATATTGCCCATTTTCAACGGATTATTACCCTAAAAAGGTCACCTAAAATTTTCGGGAGCCTTTTTTCAGGCTGAAATTTTCGAACAGGTAAGTTTTGATCCCTATAATCTTCGGATCACTAGACTTTCAGCTAGGAAATCCGAACAGATCAAAAATTTATAGGGGATAAAAATATGCCCATATCCACCGTTTAAATACTAAAACACGTTTAACAATGCTATGTTTAAGTGGTTTTGAACTATATTCTCGTTGGGTGCCCCTGTTACAAGTTCTTAAACTATTTCATTTGGACACGTAAGCTTTTCAACACGCCGATGAATACTATTTTCTTTGCCTTGATAACTTTTACCTTAATAAGACTGGTGTACTCTTCTTTTAACCTCTGAACCCAATCATCGCTATCGCGAGGTCCAGCTTTTGTTTTTAAAGTCGGAATGGAAGCTACCGTTCTCTTGGTCGCTTCATCCACCATTTTTACATCAAAATTTATTACGACTACCTCGAGTAAGAAAGCACGAAATGTGATGTACAGAACTCGTTCTCGCCCCCAGGCTCCACTAAGCGCTTGCTCGCGGGCCAGGAAGTGTTAGACGCTTTTTTGATCTTTTTTGTGCACAAAAGACATCGGTCTGGGATAGAGATATAGGAAAAGGGGATGATCGCAGGCTATAAGGAGAGGTGTTAGCCTGTGTGACAGACATAAGACGGGGTTGGGGAACTCCATTTCAGCTGGTTAAAGGCTCCTGATTTCAGGGAAGACTGCATAACTGACTCCCCACCCAAGGCTGAAAAATGTTTAAAATTCAAACTTCCCGACATCTCTAGGAAGATCGAAGGCCGGGGCCTCTGATCGGAGGGTAAGCCATAGGGAACTGTGCTTTAAATTGAAGTATTCTCTGTACTGCTTTTATTTTCGTCTAATACAGACCAATAAGACACACAATTTTTCTTTGTCCTTCAGAGCTGTTTTCTTGAGCTGAAACTAAAGCCATGGCTGAAGCTTTGCTCTTCCTTTTCTGTCGTAAGGAATAATTATGCATGTGGCTTTGCTTGAAGATGAAAACAACAGAACTCAGTCTCGGCAGAGCAGGGCTATTGCTGTAGCTCAGCTGTAGTCTTATCTAATTCTCTGCTCTTCTGTTGAAAAACAGCTAGCACACTTAGACAGACCTACACTCTTCAGGATAAACAAATGTGACAAAGTGTATTTCTGATAAAGGACCAGAACTTCTGTAAGCAGCTACAGCTGGGAGACAGAATGAAGTTAGATTATCACGTATTGAGAACAAATTTATCAGCACTTTTGTTAAAACTTAAACAAATAGTGTCTTTCCCTTCTAATTTCAATATGAAGGTTAAATAGCTTGAATTTTTCAGCTGTACCAACCTCGTCAAGGATAAGACGCGCTTGGCAGGCTTTTCAAGGGTAACAGAAACGGAAAACAGGGAGATTAACTAGTTCACGTTTACGCCAAACTGCAAAAGTGAATTTGTACCACGTGACCAAGTTTTCCCCTTAATTGTCGTTTGCTGTCTATTACTAGCTCAGGAACACGACTAACTTTTATTGTCCGTGAAAATCATATTGTGATTAAATTAGCTTAATATATACTATAATTTTTATTATGCGACAGCTGGTACTGTTTGTAAAATATTTCTTTTTTCCTTTCCTTTCTTTAAATTTGTGTCTCTCTTCCCCCACCTCGATTAGGCTCTCCTATACGCGGGTGGACGCTACCGTGAAATTGTAAATTGAGATTGAATGAATAAAGTTGAAAAGTTGAAAAATGAAGTTACTTCTGCTCAAAAATAAGTAGTTTCATGCCAGTTTTATCCATAAGAATTGTTCTGGACTGCAGTTTTTATCTGCTTACTTTCTATTCTGAGAAAGTCTCAACTTGAATCCGACGTTAGCGGTTTGCCGTAAACGCGACTCTTAATCTCTCTAATGATCGAGCGAGATAGCTCGATGCAATGGGCACAGGACAGCCTGCGTCGTAGACACTCACTCTAAACCGCTGTACAGACAGACTATACCAATTGTTTAGAACATGCGTGGGACGGCTGCAACGCAGGCTACAATCTTGAACAGAATAAACTAATAAAACACCACACCCCCACCTCCCCCCCCCCCCTTGGCCCCAAATCAATGATGAAGCCTCCCAAAAGCCAAAACCCGCCTTTTTTCCTTGATTTGGGGGGGGGGGGGGGAGGGGCCCGGGGTACAAATTTCCCATCTATTTTGTCTAAGAGGCGGGAGGGAAACGGATCAAACAATAGCAGGCAAGGGTCCTAGCTATTAAACACTATCTCCTGGATAAATGTATTATTTATCCAATGGAAAACGCAATTAGTTTCCTTAATTTTTATTCGCTGGATAGTGATTTATCTGGTGGATATCGCTTGAACAACTGACCAACCGGGGCAACACCTCTCACTCAGTTGTGAGTGGGTTTGATAAGAGTGTTTCGCCGGCTGTTTCTCCATTCAGTAGTCAATTAGCTTGCTGAAACTTCATACATTCGTTTTTTATAAGAATCTGTAATTTTCAAACTGAGGCTGGACTGAGGTCAAATTTGCTTGCATGGGGGGACTGGAGCGATCCTGAAAATCTCAAAAACCGGACGAACAAGACCAAGCCTGAGGAGCGAACAGGCGAATATGACTAAAACAGACCGACAAATATTGTTACTCAGTAGCAACAGACGGACCTAAAACGCAGGATACACTTTACTTGTTGACAGAGGGGTGGGGTGGGGGTGCATACCAATTTTATTGATCTACAAATCCGATACGGGGGTACTTCCTTACAGGCTAATGGGGATGTGCCGCTGGATGGGGTCGCATTTTCACGACTGGATTGGCTATAATGGGGTCGCATTTTCAGCAGAGTTACTAGAATGGGGTCGCACATTTTTTGATTTTTGGAGGTAAGACAGTTCTTCATATGTAAGGTTAGCAAACGTACCAGAATGTTTGTACTGCAGATGAAAAGTAAAGTGTTCCTCATTAAATTCAATCTAAAAAATAGGTCAGTTCATAAAAATAGAAAGAGACTAAGTTGGGATCGCGAAAATTACATATTTGCGCAAACGTGACTAAAATGGGGTCTATAATTGGCCACAGAATAGACTATAATGGGGTAGGGGCTCTGACAGGCCAGCGGCACATAACTAGCAAAAATTAACCCAAATGACCCCCCCCCCCCCCCCGAGACCCTGTGGCCCTTCTAAAATGTACTTTTTGGGGGGTGCACCCGGGGGGTCTCTCCGTGAGGGTGGAGGTGGGGGAACAAAAGCTGAAAACAAAGAATTAGAATACTATCTAGTTTGCATTAAATCGTGTCTTTAGAAGCAAAAAAAGACATTTTTTGCATACTGTTTTTACACATATTAATGAT